GCTCACCAATTTCCACTGAATTCAGTTGAATAAATGATTACATTCAGGTTGTTCAGCCATTCTCACTATCCTTTTCCAAGGCATTTCACCAGCATTAGCATAAATTATGGAGTCCTGGTGTGACGTTGTAGGATAAGCATTGGACCACAAGATCTGTGAGAATCGCAAGGTGTGTGGGTCAAACTCACCAGCTGCTCTTCGGAAACCCTCTACAGGGTGGCTATGAGTCGGAACCAACTTGAGGACACATAACTACAACAGCATAAATTATTGCCCCCTAAACAAAAACTCCCTCTTTCCCTCTCCCTTCCGTCCCTGGTACCATGGAGTCGGCTCCAACTCATAGCAACCCTGCATAGGGCTTCGGAGGCTGTAAATCTTTAGGGGAGCAGAAACCCTCATCTTTCTCCCAAGAAACAGCTGGTAGTTTCAAATTGCTGACCTTGAGATTAGCAGCCCAACTTGTAACCACTATCTGGTAGCCACTAATATTCTTTGGTTGCTGTGTATTTGCTTATTTCATATCAATGAGATCATATGACTTAGTTCAAGTAGCATGTTGTTTTCAAGGTTCATCCATGTTTTGCATAGGAACTTCATTTCTGCGTAGTGTTCCATTGTGTATATGTGTACCACATTTGCTTTATCCATTCATCTGTTAATGTACATTTCAGTTGTTTCCACCTTTAGACTATTGTGAATTGTCGTTGTCTTTAAGTGCTTCTGAGTCAGTTCAGACACATAGTCACCATGTATAGAATTTCTGAAGATGTAAATTTTTGCTGGAGCAGAAAGCCTCATCTTTCTCCCACAGGCATCTTGATGATCTCAAACCAGTGACCTATAGTTAGCTGTACGGTGCTTATCCTACAGAGCCAAGTGCTGCAATAAACAGTAGTGTACAGGTTTCTATGGGTTTACTTGATGTTTTCCTAAGCCCTTTTCAGCACTGACATTCTGAGATTGAGATGCTCTGACAACTAGCAGAATAGCAATGAATGGGTGAGAAAACTTTAACATCATCCCTCCAAAAGCCAAGTCTTTATTCCAATCCCTTTTCTCCCCTCCCCACAGAGAAGAGGAGGCGAGAGGCTATCGCTGCAGCAACCTCCCTGACAGAAGCTTTAGTGGATCACCTCAATGTGGGGTATGAACCTCTTCCCCTCAACAACCCCCCAAGTTTAGGCACTGGAAAGGCCACACCTTCAAATTGCTTGTGAGAGGGTGGAGTGTTCTACTCATACCCCACCTTTCAATGTGTGGAGAGAACCTTGAGTCAGCTCTGACCACTATTATTGGGCAGGGAAGGAGCAGCTGCAGTGGTTGGAGAAGCAGCCAGATGTCCCCCCTCCGCACATCAACTTCCCTGGTGCCTACAACTTGATGCCATCTGCCCACCTCCCTTTCTCCCTTCAAGCCCAGCTGTCACTTCAGCAGGAGGGCGAGTACCCTCCCTTCACCACAGTTTACCACTCTCTCTTCTACTTCCCTCCATCTGGCAGGCCTGAGCAGCAACTGGCAGGAAAGAAATGGCACAGCTGGTGAAGATGAGGGCAGAACCTATGCCAGGAGCTAAGGCAGAGCCAGGCTGTCTCTTCCCTTCCTTCTGGGTCTCCAAGGGCCAACCCCCTTCCCAAGCCCTAATGAGAAAACAAATAACCACCAAAGACTTGGTAAAGAGCAAAGACCATTGTCTCCCACCCTGAGTGACCCTGAGTTGTGCAGAGATGATTTGATATGCCTTGTTGAAAGAAAAAAGGCAGTATGATGCCTTCCACCCCAAGGCACAGAGAGCAGCTTGTTTATGAATGCAGAGGCTGAGTCATCTGAGTGAGCCATGCAGGGGCCAGGGTCATCATTACTCATGGGGACTAGGGTTGGGGGGAGTAGGGGAAGACTGTGGTTGGGGCCTCTGATCTCCCATATCACCAGTCCTCTCTCTCTACTCAGTGTGAATAATAGAAGAAACTGGGATTTCAGGAACTCCCAAGGGGAATCCGTTGAGGCATTACAGTTTCAGCCCCCATCCCAGCCCCTGCTGTGCCCCAGCTGTCTCCCAAAAAGAAGGGACAGGATCTGCCCCTTCCCTTCCTCCCACATTACTGTACCGGCCACTTGTAAGTGTGGCCTAGGCTTCTCCTTCTCCTCTCCCTTTGCTCAGGGCCAGTCCACTTTCAACTCAGAGGGCAACTATGCCAAAGCCGGATTAGAAAGGGTTTTGTGTAGCTGCCCACGGCTCCTCTTATTCCCCGGAAAGGAAAACAAAGGCACAGTCTATCTCAGCCCCTGTCAGGTGTCCTACCCACTCTTTTGACCCCTCTAGCCCCTTGCCCTCCCTCCCTCTCCAGCCCCCGTAGATTCTGGGAAGGGGGAGGGAAGGGACTGGCATGGATTTGGAGTCTCCAAGCTCAGAAACCCTCTACAGGGTGGCACACAACAACAAAGCTGACCTAGTCTCAGGGAGGGGAGTAAAAGATTCATCAGCTAACCAGGGGGGAGGTTAATGGGGGCAGGCGGTCAGGCAGCCAGAGGGTTGTGACACCATCCCTGTGGCAGCCATGGTACCTGTACCCACCATCTTGATTGAAGAGAAAACACAACATTGTACTGTCTAAAACAGAAGGGAGTGTGTGTTCATGCATCTGTGTGGGTGAAAGAAGAAGGGTTGGGAAAGAGAGAGCCAAAAACACCCCTGGGATACCCTCTCCTGGCCCGGGGTTCCTGGAGAGAAGGAATGCTTTCCCAGCTCACCCCAGATTCAGGGAGGGGCCCAAATTCCCTTCCTAGCGAGGAGGCCAAGTCCCCTTCTCGCACAGATCTCTGGACTTCCAATCGCTGCCAGATGTGTCCTGCTGCTGGATTTTCCCAGCCTTCTTCTCCCTCCCAGCTTCTTCCTCAGGGATATCCTCCCAGGTTAACCCTCCCAGCTGCAGGAATTCTTTGGTGGGGGGATGGGGGTGGTAGAAGATGGTATGCTTCTAGTCAGCTCCCAGCTCAACTCTCCTGGGAATCCTGGGAGTGGGAATGAGCTGAGTTCATTTGCATGTAACAGTAGTAGTTTGTATCATATCCAAGAATGGCCAAAATCCTGAGGTTTTCCCCAGCCCTGACTCCTGGCTGGCCTCTCGTGCCTGCAGTGGGATTTTAGTCCTGAAGACCACCCTCTACTGGTTGGGTGGGTTAACCCCCTGCCTCCTTGTACCCCTAGTGTGGCCCAGGCCTATATGAACCAGAGAAAGCTGGACCATGAAGTAAAGACCTTACAAGTCCAGGCAGCCCAGTTTGCAAAGCAGACTGGACAATGGATCGGGATGGTGGAGAACTTCAATCAGGCACTTAAGGTAGGCCACACTCCCCGGACTTCCCATTGGCTGCCTCCAGTCAGGTCATCTTGAGCCTGGAGTTGAGGAAGGAGGATGGTTCCAGAAACCCTATCTATGGCCCTACCAGCAGAGAAGCAAGAGAAAGAATAAAGTAGTTGGTGGGTCCAAGCAAAGCCCTTTCCAGGGAATGAATGGAAAGTGCCCCCAGACACCATCACCCCGATACCTGGGCTACCACCCTCTCTCTCCCCCCAGGAAATCGGGGATGTGGAGAACTGGGCTCGGAGCATCGAGCTGGACATGCGAACAATTGCCACCGCACTGGAATATGTCTACAAAGGGCAACTGCAGTCCGCCCCCTCCTAGCCCCTCTTCCCATGCCTCTACCTTGCCCCTCGTGCCCCACCCACAAGGAAGGAGGGAGCTGACCAGACCACAAATAAAACACAAGCTTCCATTTCTGTGTTGTTTTTTCAAGGGGCTACTTGTTGAGTGTATGGGGGAGGAGGAGTTAAAGGTTCAAAGGTGGTTTTCCTGAGAGCTAAGAAATGACCTGGGGATACCCTCTCTTGAAGAGGGGCGGGTGCTTTCTCAGCTCACTCGATTCATCCTTGGGTAGAGGGTAAAACCAATTTTCTCTTACTATCCCAACTCTATTCAGCCTGAAGCCTGGTACAGATGTGTGTTGGGTAAGTAGAGGGTAGAAGAAGGTCCTAGTGGCCTCTGCTCCAAGCTTCCTAATTCAGAACTTCACTTTCCTACCGAGGAACAACGAGACTCTGGGTCCCCTGCTTTGGCTCCCTGCCTCTCCACGTGCTCACAGCCTCTCTCAGGCTGGTACTAAGACATGTCATGGCTCAGGGATGGGTGGGAGGTTAACTCTTGGGCTTGGGAGCGCTTTGAGACAGGGAAAAAGGAATGACAGGTCCAAGGTCACCAACAGAGAGGCAGCTGCCATCCTTGACAGGTCCCACCTTCTGGGGCACCATGACCTAGGTGGCCAGGAACCCGGACAGAAAGACAGCCAAGGGACTCTGCCAACCACTGGTTTCAGCCAGCATGGCCCCAGCCTCCCTGGCTCCTCCTCCTCAGCCCTTCCCACTTCCCACCACACATACACACACTTAATATTCCTGGCACTGAAGTCCACCCCCTCTGGACTTTGGCTCTAACTATTGCTAGTATGGAAACCTCAGGAGACTGAAGGCAAAATCTCAAAAGAAGACTCTGCAAGCTTCCTCCAGAGGAGGTTAAGTGGGGTACTGGGAACTAGAGTTGCTATGAGAAGACTAGCAAGATAATTACATGTAATGATAACTCAAAAGTTCTGAGCATTTATGTTTGCAATCCTTGTTTAAACTACTCCCAAGTCAAAAACCTTCAGCTCAGCTGCTCCCAACAAATGATCTCCTTGGATACTCACAATTCTGGATTGGGCTTTGCAGGTGTTAGCCCTACTTGGCAGAATGAAAAACAGGTTCAGAGACAGTTAAATGCTCAGTATCATACGGGAAGTGTATGGCCCCAGAACTAAAATGCAAGGGTCTTAGCTCTATACCCAGTTCCACAAATAAGGCCCAGGTTACATTTGGATGTCCCTGTTTTATAAGAAAGGAATGACAGCGAACAGGAAGGGCTCTCTGCTCTCATACAGCAGGTCTGCACACACGGCCTGATATGGCAGGTTTTAAGTTAGTTACAAATATGGTATCTGCCTACATCTCTGCTTCCCTTCCCCCTGCTCCCCAAAATAGTTTTGTGGTTGGCTCAGAGAGACTTTAAACTGAGGAGGAGACTTGGGCGAGGGCTTGAGCAGCAATGTAACCTGGGCACATTTTCCTGGCCAGCCTAGGCTGCCACCTGCAGGTCACTTGAGTGCCAGCACGTGGCTTTCTCTGCTGCTGTGTGCCTTGCTCTGGGGAGTGCTGCGGTTGCTTCCAGACTGGCAGAGCCTGCCCCCAAGCGATGCCTTCATCTTCATCACCGGCTGTGACTCAGGTTTCAGGCGGCTTCTGGCACTACAACTGGACCAGCAGGGCTTCTGAGTCCTGGCCAGCTGCCTAACCCCCTCAGAGACTGAGGACCTACAGACGGTGGCCTTCTCCCGCCTCCACAACATTCTGCTGGATGTTACTGAACCTCAGTGTCCTGTGGGCAGCCAAGTGGGTAAAGACACAGGTTGGAGAAGTTGGTGAGGAAACAGTGTGGTTGTGCCTGATCCCCAGAGTGGCCGCAGGAGGGTACTAGTTAGGGCTAAGGCAGGGCTCCGATCCTCCCAGGAAAGAGGCAGGGCCATTGGATGCCTCACCTATCCTGTGTTGTCTGAAAAATGCTGGTGTGGCTGGTATTATTGGACCCACACCATGGCTGACATGGCATGATTTCCACTGGGCGCTGAGTGTGAACATCCTGGTTCCCATCAGGGTCACCCTTGCCCTGCTGCCTGTGACAACAGGCCTGTGGCTGGGTGTTCTACATCACCAGCATCCTGAGCCGCCTGGCAGCCAATGGTGATGACTACTGTGTCTCCAAGTTTGGCCTGGAGGCCTTCTCGGACAGCGGACAGCCTGAGGTGACGGGTACAGAGCCCAGGATCCAAGCCCAAAGGGGACTCACTCAACAAGCAATATCTGCTCAGTGTGGGCCAGCAAAGATTGAGACAGAACAGTGTAACACTTAGAAGGAGACAGTTTAGGGCTGGACTTCATGGGTTCACATCTCATTAGGCAACTTACTCCTTGCCCCAATTTTCTTCCTCATCTGTAAAATGGTGCTAAGACCTACCTCCTGGGTATTGAGTTAAAGCAGTGCCTGCACATAGTAAATGCTCAGAAAAGTCTATTAGTATTTGTAGGTAGACTCATACTACTTTTTTTTTTTAATGTTTTATTGTGAAATATGTGCTAGTTTACATGGGAGAACAGAGTCATACTACTTTTAATAATGATTAATTACGATGAGCTTACACCCACTGCCACTAAGTCAGTTGCTATTCATAGTAACCCAATACAGGTTTCCTAGACGGTCACTCTTGGAATGAGCAGACGGTCATCTCTCTCTCCAGAGTGGTTGGTCAGTTTGTGGTCAGCAGCCCAACGCTATCCCACAATGCCACCAAGGCTCCCTTATGACGAGCTAGTGGCTTTAAATAACATTCTCTCAACAATCCTGTAAAGGTGATTGATGGTGGTGGTTGTTAAGTGCAGTTGAATCAGCTCCAACTCAGTGTGACCCTATATAGGATTTCCGAGGCATGGCTGGTGAGTTTTGAATTGCCCATCTTGTGGTCCAGTGTTTATCTTACAGCACAACACCAGGACTCCAAAGGTAGGTATTAATACCCTTAAACCAAAGCAAACCCATTGCCGTCAATTCCCACTCAGTGACCCTACAGGACAGAATAAAGCTGCCCCACAGGGTTCCCAAGGCAGAGAAAGAGACTGCCACATCTTTCTCCTGTGGAACAGCTTGGTGGGCTCAAACTGCTGATCTTCCTGTTAGCTGAGCACTTAACCACTAAACCACCTGGGCTCCCGATTAATACCTTCACAGTAACAAGACCTACCTAAGGCCTGGCCGTTGTGTTCTCCTGTACCTCTTGTAGAAGAAAAAGGTTCCAAGTTCCATGGGTCCCAACAGATGTCCCTGTGGAGATCATTAAAAGTACCACAGAAGACAGCATGGGAGAAAGGCCTGGATTCTGAGTAAAAACACAAGTCCCACAAGCTGTGTTCCACATCTTAAGGATGATGCCTCCAACACCATCACTCAGCAAATCATTTCAGTGTCTACTTTGGTCCCTACCCCACCCCTTAGTATTTAACTTTCCAGTTGGCATCATAGAACATAAATATTTGAATTTCTGCATCTGTGCCAGGTAGTTATCTCCACTTTCCAAATGCAGCTGGTGAGTTTTAATGGCCAACCTAGTAGCTAACAGTCCAGTGCTTACTCCACACCAGAGCCCATCAAATTATTCCCCCGGCAAATACCACCATGAGGTACTGTGGGCTAGTGCACTGGACTGCAAAGTCGGTTTGAACCACAAGGTTCAAGCTCACCAGCCAATCCTCAGAAACCCTATACGGGGTTATACGGGGTCTCTATGGGTCGGAACTGACTCAGCGACACTTAACAACAAAATACCCTTCATATCCAGCATCCGGGAATCAGCTATGTGTTTGAAACTAAGGCACATGGCTCCTCTAAACTGGGACTTGGCAGCCCTTAAGTAAGCTAAAAAATTCTTAGTAAGTTAAGAATTTACAACCTTAAATTAGTGTTTACACTGTAAATGGTTATATAAGTACCTACATAATATCCTTAATTTTGTTTTTTAGCCTGAAGTGCCCAAATGTTTGTTATCTGGCCCTTTAAGACAGTTTACTGATTCCTAAAGGAGCTCTGGTAGCGTAGTGGTTACGAATCGGGCTGCGAACCTTAAGGTCAGCGGTTCGAAACTACCAGCTGCTCCGCGGGAGAAAGATGAGGCATTCTACTCCCGTAAAGATTTACACCCTCGGAAACCCTGTGCAGGGTCGCTATGGGTCGGAACCGACTCAACAGCACATAACAACAACAACATTCTAGATCTTTAGCAGTCGTGGTGGCACTGTGGGTTACATTGTTGTTGTTAAGTGCCGTCGAGTCGGTTCCGACCCACAGCGACCCTGTACAGGGTTTCCGAGGGTGTAAATCTTTACGGGAGTAGAAAGCCTCATCTTTCTCCTGCGGAGCAGCTGGTAGTTTCGAACCGCTGACCTTAAGGTTCACAGCCCGATTTGTAACCACTACGCTATCAGAGCTACATAGTGGCTGTTAAACATCAGGGTTGTTGGTTCAAACCCACCACTACTCACAGAAGATGAGGCTGTCTGCTGCTATAAAGATCTATGGTCTCAAGGTCATTATGAGCTGGCATTGACTCTGGCGGTGGGTTTTATTTGGTTTTTGGTTTATTCTAGATCATAGAATATAAAGGAAAACAAGCCTCAAAAATCTCTCTCTACCTCTGTCCTGGATCCTGATATGGCTCTGTAGAATAAACACTGGACTTAACTGCAAGATCAGGGGTTCAGACCAGCCGCTCTTTGGAAACCCTAAACAGGGTCACTATGAGACAGAACTTGATGGCACTTAACAACCACCACTATCACCTCTGTCCTGCTTGTCCTAGCATAACAGGAAGGTACCTCTCTCTGTCAAGAGCACATTTTAGGAGAGATGGAGCAGCTGGAGACTTTAGATCCAGAGAGGGAGAAGGGCTGTGTGCTGAAGACCGGGGGGCTTGTAGTGTATACCCTTTGGTTGGTTGATGATGCATGGAGGGGACTGTAACCATGGCAATGAAACGATATACAATAGGATGAATGTAAAACTAATGTTCTCCCATGTAAACTACCACATAATTCACAATAAAACTTTTTTTTTTTTTTTTTTTAAAGCACATTTTAGCTTCCCCTCCCCTTTAAGGCAAGAACCCAGTGCCTCTCTGCACCCCCTTCAGGTGAGATGTGACTCCTTTTGGCGTGGATGTGGAGCCTGGCTTCTTTAGAACCACTGTAACTAGCCTGGAGTTTGGAGGCTGCCCTGAAGGCCTGCTGGATGCGAATGCCTTCTGCCACAAAGGCCTACTATGGAGAGGCCTTCCTTACGAAGTGTGAGTAGCTGGGCCCACACAGGGGCAGAAGAGAAGTAAGAGTGCCAGGAAAACCAACCCACACCAGCCTGCTAGATGAGGTGGGCAGAGCAGCTGGGGCAGGGAAGGATAAAAGAAATGCCACAATCAAACACCCAGTAATGTGGAGCCTGCCCCAAGCTGGGAGGGAGACTGAGAAACCCGGTCACCTCTACTAGGCTGTCTCCAGATGACAGAGTCTGAGACAGACTGGAGAGAGAGGGGGGCACTCATTGTAACCACCCCTCTGAGTTGCAGTCCTCAAAGTACAGCAGTGTATCATGAACATGCTTTGTGAACCGGACCTAACCAAGGTGAGCAAGTGCCTGAAGCATGCCGGCTGCCCGTCACCCCCAAACCCGCTACAGCCCAGGTTGGGACGCCAAGCTACTGTGGCTGCCAACCACTTAAGTGGACACTGTGCTCACCTGGGTCCTTCCCAAGCCTGCCCAGGCAGTTTAATGAATCCAGGGTTCCAGCAAGAGATTGTTCTGCCAGAACCAGGGCTCTCTCTGATTTAGTTCTGCCCCCACTCTGGAACTGACTAATGCCTGGCACAGAACAGGCTCTAGGGAAATGCGTACTATTCAAATACAATTAATAGGAAAGGAAATAGGCGGGCATTAATGGAGTCCTGGTGTGGCGCTATGGGCTAATGCATCACACTGCAAAGTCATCTGAACTGCAAGGTCGGGGGGTTCAAGCTCACCAGCTGCTCCTTGGAAACCCTATGTAGGGTCAATATGAGTCAGAACTCTTTCAACAAAACCCTAACCCTGGTGGCACGGTGGGTTACACTTTCGCTAGGGGTTGGAATCAACTCCACTGGCACTCAACAACAACAATGAAAGACTAACCCCATTTAACAGCTAAGAACCCTAACCCTGGATAGAGTCCTAGCGCAGCGCTTCAGGATAATGCACTACACCAGGACTGCAAGGTCGATGTGAACTGCAAAGTCTGCGGTTCAAACCCACCAGCAACTCCTTAGAAACCCTATGTAGGGTCAATATGAGTCAGAACTCTTTCAACAAAACCCTAACCCTGGTGGCACAGTGGGTTACACTTTCGGCTGCTAAACCACAAGGTCAGCAGTCCCAATCTACCACCCACTCCACAGGAGAAAGATGAGACTTTCTGTTCCTGTTAAGACTTACAGACAGGGTCACTATGAATCAAGTAGTTTCCAACTCATGTTGTTGTCAAGTGCCACTGAGTCGGTTCCGACTCATAGGGACCTTGTATTAGGTTTCTGAGGAGCAGAAACAACCACCACCGCTCTAACCTGACTTAGCCAGGCTCTCTGGCCTATTCAGTCTGCGAAATGACTAGCACTCACTGGGAGGCGTGAGGGAACTGTTTTCATCTACAGACCTCCTTTGAAACATGTGCCTGGAGTGGCCACCAGAGGGCACTTTCTGACGGTTCCTTTTTTTTTTTTTTTTTTCTTACTTCAGTTAAGATTGCAAGGTCTAGCCTGCGAATGGTTTTTATCTATTATTTTTTCCGAGATAAAGGGAGTAAGGATTTGGGAGAGGGCACTGAAGAGGGTTCAGGACCAGGCTAGAAATGTTTCATGGAAGAAAAGGCAATATTCACTTAAGTTTTCCCACTATCACAATCTAGGAATAGCACTGAACTGCTAAATGCCAAGTCAGCAGTTCAAACCCACCAGATACTTCTCAAGAGCCCTCAACAGGGTTGCAATGAGTCAAACCAATTCAACAGCACATAACATCATCAAAATCTAAGTCAAGAATAGACGCCGGCCACACAGTTTTCGTGGATACTTACAGGCCCTCTTGAGAATTGCTGGAGGAGAGGTCCTGAGAGTTGGGAAAGGCCAGGGGAAATATGTCAAAGGTAGATGTGGGCTGGGTTCTCTTCGGTAGGATCTTTTTGGGAATCCTTCAGACTTATGCAGGAGATAGAATTATGAATGATTCAGCACTGAATCTGGTGACACAAGATAAACTAGGTGGGCAGGGAGGACACTGGCCACAGCATCCTCTGGATCTCTACTTCTTCCATTGTCAGCCCACACAATTCCTTCAGCAAACCTTCTCGTTTCCCAAACACCTCCCAAAATAGGCCTGCTTTTCCCAGAAGTGCAAAGAGAAGGTCCCAGAAGACAGGAGCCATGGATGAGGGGAAGGAAAGGAAGGGATTAAGTAACACTCTTTAAGACAAACTATCTTTTTGGTTTGAAAAAATAATCCATTTAATTGAAAAACGTGGAGTATACTACCCCAACTCCCCTCGATGGGGGAGGGAGTGCTGAGGAGACGAGACCCCTACATCACCTCATAGCCACTTCGGATACTCTTCACGAGGCAACAGGCAAAGATAATCCCCAGGACCTGGAGGGAAGGATGGAGAGGGACGTAGAGAGGAATCAGGACAATATACCCCAACCCAACCCAAGAGGCCTCAAATACACCTAGGGCTCCCCTGCCCAAGCCAACAGCATCTGCTAAGCACCCTCCTCCCCTGTGCCCTGGATGGAGTCGCAGCCCCAGCCTAGGTCACTACTCACCTCCACAAAACCAATGCCCAGGGCTGCTGCAGCTATCACCAACAATTTGCTCCTCAGCCAGCCCCCAATCTTCTCCACACAGCCCTGAAGGACAGCCGGTATATAAGGCAAGAACACCCTCAGGAATCTCCCACCCACCTCCCTGGTTCATCTATCTCTTCCGCACCCTCTGTCCCTTTCTCCAAACCCCTTGATTCCAGATACCTGAAACCAACGTCCCAGAGCCTCAACCCTGTCTACCTCCATCCCTGATTTCTCTCACCTCCTGAAACATTTCCCAGGTTTCCCAGTCCCTACTAAGGAGCTCTGGTAGCATAGTGGTTACAAATCGGGCTGCAAACCTCAAGGTCAGCAGTTCGAAACTACCAGCAGTTCCGTGAGAGAAAGATGAGGCTTCCTGCTCCCATAAAGATTTATTGCCTCGGAAACCCTATGCATGGTCGCTATAAGTCGGAACCGACTCCACGGCACCTAACAACAACAACAAACCCGATACAGGGTCACTGTGAGTCAGAACGAACTCCACAGCACATCACCATCACCACTGCAGCATTCTCCCTACCTCGGTATTGATATCCTTCACGTTGAAGTTAACCCCACAGTTCTTAGTGACATTGACGCAGCAGGAGTCAGGAATTCGGTTTTTGGGAACAAGAGGAATGTTCTCCCAATCTGTGTAGTTAAAAGCCCCGCAGCACTTAAACTGGGGCAGGGAAGAGACACAGGAGAGAAGTGGTTAAATGAACTCCACCTTCAGGGTGGAAATGAGAATCCTCTCACTCTACCACCTACTACCCCTTCTCCCAGCAGTCCACTCACGTTTTGCTGCATCTCGTCCAGGAACGGAGCCGTGATATTGTCTTTTGGGTAAGACTGCATCTGCTGCTGGAAACCCTTCTTAAACTCTGATATGACCTAGAAGTGTGGAGAAGTGTTGTTGAGGTCAGAATTTAGGGCACCTGGATCCTAGAACAGCCAGGGCTCTGAGGCAAATCCCCTCACCCCTGCTTACTTTGTCTCTAAACACATAGCCAGCAATGGCTGCGGCCATCTCCACCAGCGTAATAAGAGACAGGAAGACAACAAACTGCAAGCACAAGGGGCAGGAGTCAGGTTTGGATCTATGAGTTAGAGGCACCTGCCCAATCCCTGGAACATTCACAACTGTCTTCTTTACCTCACCCACCCTCTTCAGCCCCCTCTAGCACCCATGCTGGCACCCACGTCCCACTCACCGTGATCATAAGATAGTAGTTCTCCTTGCAGGCCCCACAGCAGCCCACAAAGGCCACCAGGAAGAGGAAGGTACCCACTGCAATGATGACCGCAGGCAAGAGGGAGCCATGAGTGGCCCCTTGGTTAACAGTCTGACTCAGGACGAGCTGGACTCCCACACCCACAGCGATCAGTCCCACTGCACAGGCCTGAGAGGAAGGAAGGTCAGAGGTCACACCCCAGCAGTCCTCCAAAGTGGAGGGCAGAAAGTGCACCCAGGATACAGGCTTGACCTCACACATCCCAGAAACTCTGGACTATGAGGGAGAAGTGGCCCATCTTGTCCCACAGTGTAGGCTAGGCAGTTGTTCCAGGTACTCGAGGAGCAGAGTGTCAGGAATAACACCTTCTTCCTTCAAGCAGCTCTTCTAGCACAAGTTGCAAAAACAAGTGCCCAGAAAGCCCCGGGGCACACATTCCTGATCAAAAGTGGTTGATACCTATCTGCCTTGAGAGATACTAAGCTAGTGTCTCCTAGAACTGACCCTCACTATCCTCCAGGGCCCACCCTACCCAAATCAATTGTGGCTGAGAGGAAGAAAGCCCCAAGGGCGGGGTTTCTGTGTCCCGTCCTGTCCCGTCCTGCCCCTCAAGCCAGGAGCTAGCTGAAGTAGTAATAGTCCTACCACCCTGAAGCATCCAAGATGGGGGATGAGGAGATGGAGACAGAGATAGGGATCGGAAGCCCCGCAGCGATAGCATCTGGCCACCATCTGGCCACCGTTGGCTGATTGCCCCACTGCCCAGTATCACAAGTGGTTGGGTCACCAGACAGGACGGGTCAGGAGAGATTGGGGAGAGGGTCTGTGCACCCCAGTTGACCATTCTCCGTCCTAACAAGCCTCAGGAATCCCCAAACGCTGGAGGAAGGAGTAACAGCGCTGTCTTCGTCCAGTTCCTAGAACTTTCCTTCCACATCTAGTCATCCCAGGCCCCTCAGCCTTCACCACTCCGAAGCCAGGTCTCCCGGCACTGCCAGGACGGCCCCAAGGGCGCTCTAGAGTCCCCCCTCCGCCCCTTCCTCTCCACTCACGCAGAAGGCCAGCAGAAAAACGTAGAGTAAGAACTTGACACATTTCATCCCTCCTTCCACCGCCATGGTTGCCGGGCCTGGGGCCAGAGGGAGGGCAGGGAGATTAGAAAGAGAGTGGGGGAGAGAGCAGGATGAAGAAGGGGGCCTTTGGTTTCCCGGCTCCCAGCCAGCCCCCGAAGTTTTCCCAAACTGGCCCACATTCCTAGCCCCTCCTACCCGGAAGCCCGCGATCAGATGCTAGTCTCCCGCCCCCGCTCGACCGCGCCACGCAGGGAGGGGGCGACCGCCGCCCAGTCGGGACCCCTCCCCGCCGCCTCCAGGGCAAGCACAGATCCAAGGGCGCCGGCGGGGGCTTCCAGGTCGAAACAGATCCCCTAGTCCGCCAGCCCCAAGCGCTAAGCACCTACTCCCCGCCTACACAGCCCTGAAAAACGGTCCTTGGCTGAGCTGGACCCACTTCTCCGCCACTCTCCCCGGGGCTCGTCCCCCCAACCCCCGCCCCGAGTTAAAAGTTGGGCCGGCAGCCCCCAGTGCCCGCCCGGCCTTTGGAACTTTGGAGTAAAGTTGCTCGAGGACCACCAACGCCGCGGGAGGACTCAGGCGCGGCCCCGAAAGGAGGGCGCAGCCGGTGGCCTCCCCCAGCCCACACCGAGGTTCGCCGGGCGCCCTGCGGCCTCACCCGCGTTCCCTGCAGCTGTGTGCTCCTCTCCCGTCGGGGCTCAGGGGCTCTCTGCTGCGGCCCCGCCTGCGCCGCGGCCCCGCCCCGAGCTCCGCTCAGGCTCCAGCTCCAGCCACAGCCCCCTCCCTCAGGTGACGCGAGAACAGCTGCGGCCTGAGTCACCGGGGCCTGCGAGGGGAAGGCTGAGCTCCACGCCCCGCCGATCCACGTGGCCCCTACCCACAAACTGGAGGGTCCCCAGGGCGGACCTCGGGGCGCCCCCACCCAGTGCCAAGAGTCGCTTGGTTTTCTCCGGCTCGGGGCAGTGGAGAAGGCGGGATGGACGTTCCAGAGTCGCCCTCTGAGTGCCGGTGGTAGAGCGGAGACTAAGAGACAAGATGGACTACGAGAAGCCTCTTCTTCCTCCACCGAAAGCCCAACCCTTCCTCTGAGTCTCTGAGTTCAAGCCTCCAGCCTCATCCCGAGTGGGAGCTGTGGACTCTTCGGGATCGGATGGGGCCAGATAAACACTCTCTCACGTTCTGGGAGTCCCTCAACATTCTAGTGTGGGAGTTCCTGTTCCTCCTCGTTAAAGCACCGTCTCCATTTTACAGGGAAATGGGCTGACAAGGGACTGGAGCCCTTCTCCAGGGCCATCGCGCCAAGTCCACCTGGCAGGTCAGTCATTTGTGGCGCTGTAGGAGCACCGGCTGCTAACCGAAAAGTCGGTGGTTCAAGTCCACCAACCGCTCCTCAGAAACCCTGTTACAAGGTCGCTATGAGTCAGAACTAACTGACTCGAAGGTACTTACAGTAGAGAGGAGTGAGTGTTCTGGTATGGTTCCGTAGAATAAGCACTCTAGACTGCTAACCACAAGGTTGGTGGTTCTAACTCACCAACTAACTGCTCCTTAGAAACCCTATGAGTTGGAGCTGATTCAATTGCATTTAACAGGAAGGAGTGACAAACTTTGTGGTTCCAGCACTCCTAGAGAGAGGAAGTCAAGAAACTACACTGAGACAGACATGGCATGTTGTTGTTGTTGTCAGGTGCCATCGAGTCGGAACCGACTCATAGCGACTCCATGCACAGCAGAACGAAACAATGTTCGATCCTGGGCCAACCTCACCACCGCTGCCACCCCCGAGTCCATCAATGATGCCACCTGGCCGATCCATCTCGTTGGAGGTCTTCCTCTTTTTCTCTGACCCTCCACCCTACCCAGCATGACATCCTTCTCCAACGATTGTTTCCTCCGGACTACATGTCCAAAGTAGGAGAGACGAAGCTTAGCCATCCTGGCCTCCAAGGAGCACTCTGGCTGCACTTCTTCCAAAACAGATCTATTGGTTCTTTTGGCAGTCCATGGCACCCTCAGTATTCTCCTCCAACACCACAACTCAAAGGCATCAATTCTTCTACGATCCTCTTTATTCACTGTCCAGCTTTCGCATCCATATGAGGCTATTGAAAACACAATGGCCTGGGTCAGGCGCACCCTAGTCCTCAAGCTGACATCTCTGCTCTTCAATACTTTAAAAAGTTCCTGTGCAGCAGATTTGCCCAGTGCAATACGTCGTCTGATCTCTTCACTGCTACTTCCGCGAGTGTTGATAGTTGATCCAAGCTCCCTGAATATCCCCCATCCATCATAGCCACACTAGTCCTGTGGGCTAATGCGTTAGACTGCGAGGTCGGTGGTTCAAGTTCACGAGCTACTCCTTGGGAACCCTATACAGGGTCACTATGGTTAGAATCAACTCAATGGCACTCAGCAACAATCCTAGGACCTCATCCCAGAAGGTAAATCCAGACAGGGCTGGAAGGGAAAGTGTTTGTGAGGGTCACTGCCATGAATCTCCAGGAGGAAATGATGTAACAGACCTTAAGGATAACATCACCACTTCCCCAGCCTACATTCCACCCTTTGTGTTCTTAGGTCCTACCTCAAGAGCCAAGGAGCTCTGGTAGCATAGTGGTTATGAATCGGGCTGTGAACCTCAGGGTCAGCAGTTTGAAATTACCAGCTGTTCCAAGGGAGAAAGATGAGGCTTTCTGCTCCCGTAAAGATTTACAGTCTTGGAAACCCTGTACAGGGTCACTATGAGTTGGAACTGACTCCATGGCACATTACAACAACAACCTCAAGAGCCACTTTTACATTTTGGGGTATGTGTGTAGTGTGTCTGTGTGTGTGTATGTATACACAAAAAAGTAAAAGGAAGATCTAGGCTGGGCTGTGAACCAGTATCACAGTTCTTCCAGCAAGAAACATCAAACCCATTCTAGACTTTTACTCCCTGTTTTCATAGTAAATGTGTACCAGGATACAGGAGAAAGGAATATTTATCAAGTTCTTTATTCTGCTGTTACTAGATGATAGGCACCAGGGAACAGAAAGAAGAGGCAGATAATGTCCCCGCCCTCAGGCAGCAAACAGAACCAAGCTTAGACTTTGAATAGAGACAAAAGCCTCTGGCTACTAGCAGTTCTACTGGAGAAAGATGAGGCTTTCTGCTCCCGTAAAGACGTACAGCCTCAGAAACCTTGTACAGGATCACTATGAGTCGGAACCAACTCCAGGGCACATAACAACCACAGCAAAACAAACTCTAAGAGAAGATCAGGTAGTGCCTTCACCTGGGGAATAACAGGTTTCCCAGAAATGGGTGGTGTTCTCCAAGAATAAGGGGGCAAGCCCTCATTCCAGGGGTAGAGAGAAAGTCAAATGTAAAAAAAAAAAAAAGTAGTCTAAAAACATATGTGACAGGTTGGCATTGACTGGCTCAAAGGGCTTGAGGAAGGACGTGGTAGAAGATGGTGTTGGGTCCTTAGTTAGATCTTTGTCTGAACAAACCAGCTATGGCAGACATTTTGGGAACAATTGAAGAAATTTGAATATGGACTGAGAATTGTTGTTTAATGCCATCCAAATCATAGCATAGGGTTTCCAAGGCTATGTATGATCTTTGTAGGAGCAGAAAGCCTCTTCTTTTTCCCATAGAGCAATTGGTGGGCTCAAACCATCAATGTTGTGGTTTACAGTCAAGTGCTCATCCTACAGAGTCACTGTGTTCCCAACACTGAGAATGAGACATTAGAACAGTATTATTAGCTGTGGTAATGATATTAGGGTTATACAGGTTTTATATAATTTTATATATAAAATTATCCTGTTTCTTAAAGGTGAAATATTGTCTGTAATTTATTTTAGAATATCAGGGGACTTCAAAAACCTCGTGGAAAATAATATTAAAAGAAAATGGAATTTTCCCATTAACTTCTTGCAGCTCGCTTAGTAGATGAAATAAAAGGTCTAGGTAATGTTGTTGTTGTAGGGTTTCCAAGGAGCGGCTTGGTGAGTTTGAACCTCTGACCTTGTGATTCAAACCAATCTCACGGTCCAGTGCTTTATCCTACAGCACCACACCAGGACTCCAGTGTAGGTAATAGGTCTGTTGCAAACCTAGGTCATGTTGAATAGTTCAATCAATGTGTTTTATTCTATTTTGTTAGCCTTGTATTATGAATTGAGCAAAGGTTTACAGAGCAGATCATTGAACAAGTCATAACATTTTGCTTCATTTATTACAATCCCTATAATGTAATATCACTTATCCTCCATGTGTTTCCTGTTTCCTAACCCTTCTGAACTTTGTCCTTGGGTTGTTTAATCTAAGGTGTGAGTACCTCCCTAGTGTTATTGTTCCCTTTATAGACCTGTCGATTGTTTCGTTTTAAATATTTGCTGATGAAAAACAAAGTCTGCAACCTTCAGTATTGATTATACTTCAGTGTAAAGCAATCAGAAATCCTCACAATTGGACCATGACAAATGAAGAAAAAGATTGAAGTTTTCAAAAACTTCATTTTGCCTGGATCCACAATCAACACTCATGGAAGCAGCAGTCAAGAAATCAAACGATATATTGTATTAGGCAAATCTGCTGCACAAGACCTTTTTACCATGTTAAAGAGCAAAGATACAGTTTAAGGAATAAGGTGCACCTGACCCAAGCCATGGAATTTTCAGTCGACTCCTATGCATGTGAAAGTTGGACAATGAGGAAGGAAGACCATAGAAGAATTGATGCATTTGAGTTATGGTGTTGGCGAAAACTATTAAAACCACCATGGACTGCCAGCCAGAACAAACCAATCTGTGTTGGAAGAAGTACAATGAGAATGCTCCTTAGAAGCCAGGATGGCCAGACTTCTTCTCTCATACTTCAAATACGTTATCAGGAGGGACCAATCCCTGAAGAAGATCATGCTTGGCAAAATGAAGGGTCAACGAAAAAGAGGAAGACCCAATGAGATGGGCTGGTACAGTAGCAGCAGCAATGGGCTCATGCGTAAACAACGATTGTGAGGTTGGCACAGGACTGGGCAGTGTTGGCGCAGGAC